TTCAAAACATATATACGTCATATTACACTTTTAAAGCTCTTCTTAGTACAAACATATTAGTGAATCCGAATTTTACTATTGTTATTAGGTAAAAATGGAGACTCTCTATGAAAAAAATTGTACTATTGTATTTTTAATACCCTATAGTTTCATTAAACTGTAATTATTTCTTATCTCATTAAAATTCTACATTCTTTATAAGCTAAGTTAAAATTGAATATGCAATATTACGATTATGCCAAGAAAACAAAAATTTCAAAATTTTCCTTGGTCGAAACTGAAAAAATGTCCAAATACAATCATTTTAGAGATTTGGTTGGCTACGTAAATATTAAAAAAAGGTATTAATATTGAAATTTTAGTTTTAGTAAATTTTTGAAATATTGAATATTAAATTAAGACTTAGCTCATAGGTAATGCACGATTTTAATCGGAGTATAGATATATGCTTTTAATGAAAAGTATAGCATAGGGTTTTCAAAATATTTAATGCCAATTCTTCCACATTAAGAGCCGTAATTTTTTTTAAAAATAGCCAAATTCTGATTCCACCAAAATGCTTGTACTAAAAAGCATAAAGTTATAGATAATATTATATGCGTTTATTTGACAATTATAGTGAGATTTCAACTACTGAACCACTAGTTTGGGTAGATACCGTTTTTAAAAACATTTGAAATAATTTGTAATTATTCTTTGGCCTTGCTCAAGTTGGAAAAGTTTTTATTTCATCAATATGAGAAGGTTTATCTGAATATAGATGACAAATTACGTGTTCATCCTGTATACAACATTAAAACATTTAAATCTCTATACAAGTTTAGATAAAGTAGTTTACATTTAAGTCATCCTATCTAATCCACGCCTAAGCATGGTTTGGGTATTAATGAGCAAAATGCAATTTATGCTAATTAATACCTATCTTTCATTATAAAATGTCAAAATCTCAAATAAGCTGTCCAAATTGCAATTAGCTACGAATTAAAATTTGAATTGTGGGTTTTTCCACATAGACATTTTGGATATAGTCGATGGTTAGTTATGAAACCTCCATAACAGCCTAGACTAGCATACTTAGGTGCATTAATTTCAAATATATTAATAAGGAAGGTACTGTGTGTGCCCACAATATAAACAAAGCTATTTAAACAATGTTCTCTTTGGGCCAACCCGCTGTCGTAGTTGATGGAGACGCCGCTAGGTAGCAGGACAAGCTTCGAATGTACAAAAATCAATGACAACAGCTGATCACACAACGTCACAACCGCTCTGAAATTTGACCTAGTCCCTAATGAAGGGCAGCAGGGTAAATAGAAATATCGTAATTTTAAAAAAGCCTAAAGAAAAAATATACATAGTTAATTTTACCGTAAATCATGCATTATGTTTACAGTTTCGCAGTATGAATCGAGTTTTTTTTTATTGTAAGTCATGGCTATGATTTTAAAATACTAGTGTAGACGCCCAATTTCGATTGACTAGCTGTAGTAATTTTTCTCTTCAATATTACAATTAGCATGATATTTAAATTAGCATTTTGAGTGTGCTATAATATTGTCTCACTTAGTTTTTGATACGGTAGATGTTATAGTCTTTAAAAAACGTTTGGCGTTGTTAAGATGTTGGTGTTTTAACAGTAATAATTGTATTAAAAGCGGCAACTTTAACTATTGAATGAAATGTCTAGCTGTAACCTTATTCATAGGTAATTATTATTACTGCATGGAAAACTTCTAAGATTCGTTTAGAAAATTATCTTAGAATAGAAAATTCAACCTAACGAAATGATGTAGTAAGCTTTTTCTTTATGACTATTAACAATAAATTATATAAGGTTTGATTGGCAAACTATTACGATTGGCTTTCGTAGAACAGACGATAAAATAAGTAACCAAAACTGATTTGTTTTTTTTGCCTGTTTAAAGATGTTTTCCCTTAAAATTATAAATAAAGTAAATATGTAAATAACAGCCAAAATATTCCTCACTCTTTCTGTAGTGTACCAAACCAACTATTCAAATCTAAGACAATTTTGCAGTAATAACATGTAACAACCAATTAAGTACCACACAAATAATTTTGTACACAAAAGAAAACGTTTGAAATTATATTCATGTACTGTATTTTGTAAAAGTCACTTTTTTAACAGCCAATCAGGCACTAACACCATTGATTATTAATATAATAATCAAAGGTGACACCTCCAAAGCATATTTTTTACTTAGAAGTTTCGACTAAATATTTTTAACCTAACTATCTTACTCTCTTTGGTTAACTGTACAGTGTAGCCTACAGCACATGAACAATTCAAATTTCTGTGATGCTTTTGTATAACTTGCCCTTAACGGTTAATTAGGCAAACACCTCCAAAATCAAGTTTGTTAAACATTTTACACAGCTCGTCATCGACGGGTCGAAAGATGCCGTTATTCGAGCCACAAAGGCGGCTTTTCAAAGAGCAATTTTCACACACATGAACAATTCCTCGGTGGGATAATTTTGCTCAAAGGCGGGAACTGGGAAGTTCAGATGTAACACTCGTCCTATCACTCTCTCACTCTCCCACTCACTCCCTCTCACTCTCCCCCTCGTACCTTTTCATCCATACCTCTCTTCGACGCATCATTCCGTAACACTTTGAAACTCTTCAGTTTTTTTTCCGAATTTTTCACATTACTCCAGGCTGGACCTAGGGGTTACAGCATTATCACTTAGATAAAATCCATTGGTGATTTGGCGGGATTCGAACCCGGGACCCCAGGTACCGAGGTCCCGCGCTCTAACCAGCAAAAAAAACTCTTCAGAGTGAAACCAACTTGTTTATTTATGAGCCAAGGTCGGTCTATAATAATAAAATATATTTATATTGTGTTTTTGAATAATTAAGTAGACCTCCCAACAATATGGACTAGCCAAAAATCCACGACTTTTTCACCGCTTTGTAGATGGTGTACCTTAAATGTTATAACTGGTTTAGGCATTTATAACTGAATTATACCTCCTATCTGCCTAAAGGACCCCAAGGTATCCACTATTTCCTCAAAGACGATTACACTAAGTTATTTCTTATTTCTCTTTAGGTTTTTCTTACTGTGATTGTTTCTGGGGAAAGAAGGAAAATATAAATTACTCTTTCAGTTTTGTATGGTAAAAAGCATACCAAACCAAACTAATACGTCCGGAGCTCGATTATTCCATTCTTAACATTTAACGTGGAAATCAAATTACTTATTACACGGTAGTGCATCACCAGTTTCAGACACGGATCAACGGATCAGACACCGATCAGTATTTAATTTTTAAGTAAAAGAAACTTAAGATTGGAAAAGTTAAGCCGTTAATGTGTTTTTTTGTGTTTTTATATTATTAAAACAATGCGAAAGCACCTGTTTATAAAGGCGTTTTCATAAACTAAATTAAGTATATTTCACTAAAAAGTAGTCCTCACAGCACATTACCCGTTACAACACTATTACCGGACATCTTGCGGATCAGCTGAATAGACTTACATGTTTTGGATTTGTTTTAGTTCGGTTTCCGTATGGTGCGTTTTGCTATTTGACATTCTTTGAGAGGATATGTTAACTGCATATTGTATTGCGTAAAACGCGCAAAAAAATTAAAAAGGTGTTTTATGAATAGTCTGCTTGCACTATTCAAAGTCTATAGTTTAGCTAAAGCAGCAGTTTGATTAATTCCAAATGTCATGAACAAACAGCTGATAGTAAGTCCCGGTAATTGTTACAACTCACAACCTAGCACTTCACTGCAAACGACTACCTTTTGTACCGTCTGATAAATCACGAATAATAGCAGCAGTTTGTTGAAATGGTTAATTTCCCAACAGGGAAGAATAGAGAGCGGAGTGACAAAATGTGCGTCAAGGGGCTGCGATCTAATTAATGTAGACACACTTAAAGCTCCCACTATAGACACAATGCTGTGAGGTAGACTAGACATTTCAATCCCGTGTTAATGTTGTAGCTGATTGGAATGAAAAGAACTTCGATTAAGTTACCACCATAGTGTGCAGCTTTTGACCGACTTATTAATCAACCCATACATTACTTCAGGCTATGTCTAAAAGGCGACATTATCAATTAGATAAAATCCATTGGTGATTGGCGGGATTTATCCCGGGACCTCGGGGCCGAAATCCCACGCTCTACCACTATAATTATGCGAACCCCATAATTTAAGAAATGATTTACATCAATGAACAGTGACAGTGCAGTTAAGGTATCCAAGGAGAACATACAGAAACTAATAGTTGTGAAATAAATTGTGAAATTATAAAATAAAGTATTGTCAAAATATCCAAATTAACTGAAGAAAGAAGAATTTAGACCTACATTATTCAGAAGAAAATTATTATTACAGAAGATTGGTGAGAACATTCCTTTTATTATTAACTCAAACTATAGATATCTCCAGGATCCATTTTGGAACTAAAATTACCTCCATATTTCAAATTATAGCAAAAGAAAAGAAAAATTAATCATCTTACTAAAATATTGTTTCCACATTATTACTCAATCTACATTTTAACTTATTGCCTTCCATAAATTCAAAGAAATCTTTTGATTCAGTCTGCACGAATCCCACCCCTGGAGAATTTTTGTAACCACTTATTTAGCATTAAACATTGTATTCAATAACACCTGTACCTCATCATTTCTATTATTAGTTAAGACAAAAATAAAATAAGAACAACATAATTAGAGGTTTATTTCAGACTTCTCTTTAGTTTGCTAAATTCAAACAAGCCCCACGGCCATATATATCTTCTATATTATGGTATATAGCATCACATATCAAATATATATGACGTAGTTAGGTGAGCTCCTAGATATTTCAACCAACTGATCATTTACGTGGCTGCAATGATGACAGTTAAGTGTTTTAACACATTTAACTATTACACAATTAATTTTTCTTAATTTAGCCTGTTGGCTTGATTCTTACAGGTGTTTTAAGTTGCAAACAGCAAATGAACTGACCTAGTAAAGCTTGGAAGAGACGAGATTTGAAGATGCGGATGACCCTCTCGATGGCCAGACGTAGCTGCTTATCCTGGGGCTTGATAAGCTTGGAGTGGTAGTCTTCTAATAGCTCCAGCGCGCGATGAGCCTCTGAAAAATTAACAAATAAATTTACTTTTCAAACCTTAGAAAATATTACATGGATGTCATGCGATAGTGGAATGTAGAAGAATTTAATTTGGCAAAGCAATACGAGAGGCTAAGTACAGGAAGATTCTGTCTGTCTGTATTTTCGACTAAGGAAAGTAAAATACATCATACTACCAATGTGAATTTGGCCAGTTATACAATGAAAACTACCGTCATAGGATGAAGCCTTCAATGAATATCCTGTAAAATACTAATGTCTGTACTAAACACTAATATTTTAACCAAGGATATGTTATAGTGAGGGAACGCATATTTTATGTTACATCAATAAATTGAATTGTAAAATTATGGGATGGCATTTTGGCAATTGCACTATTTCGCAATGGCTCATTCGCACTTTGCTGCTAGTAACAGAAATGCGGCGAGTGCTGAAGGTTTATCGAGTGCAGCAAAGATACTTTGCGCTCTTTTATACATTATATTTTTCTTACAGTTACTATAAAACGTATAAATAATGGGTAATTGTAAGTATATGCAGGTTAAGTTTTGCGATGCAGTTTCACAAACTAACATACCTAAATGTAATCATCTCACAAAAAAAACCCTATTGGAAGTTGTTTCACAAATTAGCAAATAAACATTTTAATGAAATTAAACAAACAAGATGAATTACAATCTGATGAATGTTTTTGTTGGCACGCAACAACAGGTTTGTAATCAATGTCACTGTGTTCATTATTTACAAACATTTGGCTTTAATAAGTCACTTAACAACACGTTTTACGTAAGGCTAAATTCAAGCGTTGAACGATAATTGTTAACACGCAACAACCAGGTTTATAGGTTAGGTTATAGTATATCGTTGTATCAATTACAGTAGTGTTCAAATGGAATAACGAATAAACAGCTGATCGTAGTCGTAGTATATAGTGTTGCAGACGTGTTCTCAAGAAACTTTTTGTGTTGTTTGGTTGAAATACTGGAATGCGGTAAAGTAAAATGATTGCGACGAGTAAAAAATGATGGTGTGGAGGGCATAAAAAAGATTGTATGTATTGTATACGTGGTGAAATGTATTCGATGGTACGATTTAAAAGATTAACCAACAATTTAATTCTTTTACAGTCGAAAAAAATTTAACAAGTAAATATTAAGAGTAAAGTTTTACTAAGTTCCTCGCACGAACGGGTTTCCTTTTTGCAAATTCAAATCACATTCTGAATTTAATCTGTCAGGAGCATTAGAAGATTAAATCAGCGTTTTCATCTTATTTCCTACCTAAATTAAAGCTCCCCTTTTGTTTCATGTGACATTAAACATAATAAATAACATTTGTTGAAACGTATAAAATGTAGCGTACTTATTGTTTACTAAAATTGAACTAATTCGCCATGCAACTATGAAGAGGTGGTTTATTCAATCGTTAACTGTGTGAGGTAAAACATACGGGGATTCTGAGAATATTTATTTACAATTAATTATAATTAGACTTCCGAAAGCATCACCTAATCGACTGTTCAAACAAACTCTGGCATTTTTAGAAAGTTAAAATAATAAACAATTAATCAGCATAGCAAAAATTTTAAATGAGTCATTTTCTACAAGCAAAGCTTTACTTTACATATTTTGTACTTCATAAGAATACAACTCATATACACATCATTGAATCACAATTAAAATAGCTAAATATTGTCAATTTTTATACTCCTCTCTATTACAGTTTGGACTTTATTTGTGTTTATGTTTTCTTCTCTTATGAAAATTTAATTATTAAACCAGTTTGAATGTACTGTACTTGCATGAAGTGTTTTCTACTGGAAGTTGAGTATAATAGACTTTTTGAATTATGCGTTATTTATTATCTAAAGATTACATGTTATAAATGGTTGTATATTTGGGTATACAAATTATTCCACACGCACTAGATTGCAACATATATTTTAAGTTTATATTTTCAGCCTAATGCATGGTAAATAACTGATATAAATCTTTTTAGATATTTCCAAATAATATGCCATTGTTTTGTATGAATGGTTTTCATCATAAAATTATGATTAGGTAATGGTTTTATAATTAAACTAACCTATTTGAAAATTAAATTAAATACAACGGACGCGACATCCACTAAAAATCAATAACAAACTATTTGAACTGTACTAAATGAATGCAAGGTCCAAACAAGAGTCTGAAAATTAATTCTACTACAGTTTCTTCTTAGTCTGTAATAAAAATGAATTACTCAAAATTAAATTATTTGCTTAAACCCAAACAATGCTTAAGAATTAGGTATTAATTTTACAAGGAAATAGAATTTGCAGCAAAGTTGTGTTTGTCATATACAAATATATGACGTGGCATTTGGACGACAAACTCAGGGTAGAAGTTAGTTTGGGCTACATAGTTGCAGAGTTAGTTGAGGTCGTCAGTATGCAACACTTACAACAATGTCCACGAGGGTACAAAGGCACTTTTGAAAGACTTCAACTCAAAATATTTTAATTATTTCTTGTTGTAATTTTGTAGAGAAAGTATTTAAAAGAAATTATCATAATGAAGCGACCATTTCCTAATGGTAGCACGTAGAATCAGGGCCAATGTACGTTTTTAGAGTCCACAGAAGTCCCCCCTATTATTTATTCAATGGTATTAATAATGGTAAAAAAAATTTCGTTTTATTGACTTTTTCTATTCATAATGATACTTATTAATATATTTTCTAACTATCAAAAATGCTTGTCAACTTCTGCTTATCAAACTTGAAATAGATGTTTTATCTACATATCTATGAACTGTACTGCTACATATCTACCCAGCACAGATATCAGCCGAGTTCAACACTAGGATGCTAAATGCGGTATCTGCAGTATAGATTCAATGAATTACGAGTGCATATGGTGCAATGTTGGCGAGTTTACATATTAAAACATGTTGCTGCAGCCAAATACAGCTTCTGCCAGTCTGAGAAAATCTGCTTTGCTCTATATATAACTATATGGAAAAGTATATATATTTCAGAGTTAATGCGAATAGTTATTGTGGGAAATAGGTTTCTCAAAAGAAATTAATCGCATTACGATTCAAAAATCTTTTAATATTGTAATTTATATTTATTATTTATTAATATAGTGTATATATTGTTATGAAATAACAGAAATAGTAGGCCAGGAAACTTGAGTCTGAAAAAACGTAAATAAAATCATACTACCTCAGTTTTACCATGGATTATACAGTAATTAGTGTCAGCTCAAACAAAAACTTTAGCAAACAATCATAAATAAATGATTTGCTAGATAATTTCAAGAGTTTTACAAAATGCACACGACAACATGATGGTTTTATCATTTGACATAACTTATCACAGGCAGCCCTTGTCCCGTATATCCTTCTCCACCTACATAGCATTTGCGATAACTATTCCCACGTAAAACTACATGAAATCTTATTTGAAACTGTACCACCCTCATTAGGAGCATTTTTATTTTCACTGTAATGTCAGCTTTAAAAATTACTGAAATGTTAGATTGTTCATATTTTAACTGTTCGCATTATAGGCCTGAAACAGCTCAAATCTAACCTTAACTGTTTTGCATCTATTACATCAGACATTAATTTAGACAAATGATCGTCACTTACAATAAGTTTAATGTCCCCGCGAGTTGTTAGATGATTCTAATAAAAAGCTATTAAATACATTAAAGTATAAACACCTAACCAGATGGTGTTTAAACGCATAGTGACCACCCATCAGTATTCCGTAAAATGTTTTTAAAGTTGTAGATTAGTAATTAAATCTTAATTTCCAAGTGGAACTTCAAAGCGCAATTTTCATAGAAACAATACTGTAACAGAACCAATTGCACAAAAGAAATAAACATTTAACATCCTTAAAAATAAAATGTTATGAAAAACAGTGTTAAATTATGTTTAAGATACGAGTTCAGTGTATTGTGTTGTATGAAAACATTGTTTGTCTAGAGGCTACACAGGACAATGCAGATAGATGCAACAAAGAACCTCATCAGCTGAGTCGGGACATCACATGAGCTGACGTCATCAGTGTGCTGTACATGTAGAACACTGTTATGATTGGTGTTAGATACGAGTTCAGTGTATTGTGTTGTATGAACACATTGTTTGTCTAGAGGCAAAACAGAACAATGCAGATAGATGCAACAAAGAACCTCATCAGCTGAGTCGGGACCTCACACGAGCTGACGTCATCAGTGTGCTGTACAAGTAGAACACTGTTATGATTGATGTAAGATACGAGTTCAGTGTATTGTGTTGTATGAAAACATTGTTTGTCTAGAGGCAAAACAGGACAATGCAGATAGATGCAACAAAGAACCTCATCAGCTGAGTCGGGACCTCACACGAGCTGACGTCATCAGTGTGCTGTACATGTAGAACACTGTTACGATTTGTGTAAGATACGAGTTCAGTCTATTGTGTTGTATGAACACATTGTTTGTCTGGAGGCTACACAGGACAATGCAGATAGATGCAACAAAGAACCTCATCAGCTGAGTCGGGACATCACATGAGCTGACGTCATCAGTGTGTTGTACTTGTAGAACACTGTTATGATTGGTGTAAGATACGAGTTCAGTGTATTGTGTTGTATGAACACATTGTTTGTCTGGAGGCTACACAGGACAATGCAGATAGATGCAACAAAGAACCTCATCAGCTGAGTCGGGACTTCACATGAGCTGACGTCATCAGTGTGCTGTACATGTAGAACACTGTTATGATTGGTGTAAGATACGAGTTCAGTGTATTGTGTTGTATGAACACATTGTTTGTCTTGAGGCAAAACAGGACAATGCAGATAGATGCAACAAAGAACCTCATCAGCTGAGTCGGGACATCACATGAGCTGACGTCATCAGTGTGTTGTACTTGTAGAACACTGTTATGATTGGTGTAAGAAACGAGTTCAGTGTATTGTGTTGTATGAACACATTGTTTGTCTAGAGGCTACACAGGACAATGCAGAT